TATAAGGGCAAAACAAATCATCGCTAATAAAAAATGTAACAGAATATAAAAAATACAAAAAACTCTAACTAATTTATAAATAGCACTTGACCTTCTGTTATAGCAACTAAATTTCATAATACTCTTCTATTGAAAAGAGTAACAATGAAACTATCAACAACTTCAGTAGAAAATATAACAATCTTTGCCGGCAGTTCGATTAATTGAAGCAGATACTCATGTATAACAATGCTCTTCCGTTTCCGTTAAACCAACTACTTAATACATAACAAAAAGTGCTAATAAAAACATAGTTCTAACAGAATATTCCCATGATAATAAACAAAATAATCAGTACAAAATAAGATTTCCACAAAAATAACTCTTATATTTCTAACATTAACTGGTCAACAATACATAAATATAGAAAAGATTTTAGCACAACAGAAAATCAAACAAGAATTATTTAAATGAAAATAAGCGTGTAAAATGAATCAATTAAAATTGATTAAATTGTTTTCCAACCCCATTTTCATAATGAAATATATACGCACATATTTCCCATACGAACAGATTTATTTTAAGATACTGGATTTGAAATCCTCAATAAATAAAGATTTAACAACACAAAGACCAAATAACAGCATCACAAGTATCATCAACAAATGCTGCATAGTTGAATAAGACTATTGTGCATCACTTGATCTAATGAAAAACGTTTTTATTATTATTATTTTTTTTTTTTTTTCAACTCTCCCCATTTGTTGTACGCAATTATGCACAAAACTATAAATTCTACTTAAAATTAACACATATGCCCTTATTTTACTAAAGTCGCCCCTTTTTTCCTTTTTGCTCAACATTTCATAGCATTTGTATTGAATCACAGTGATTTAAAAACCTTATAAGTCTTTATGCTTGAAATGCATTTCATAAAGATGACAATCGTGGCATGCAACACGCACCCATAACCAAAATATTTACTATTATGTTGTTCTATGAGTGTTTGTGAGTTTCAGCAAATGAAAGTAAAGTAATCGAGCGCGGGATTTAAGACAAACAAGATTTAGGGAAAATGTTAGAGAGCAGAGGAAAAACTGAAATAGGAATAAATACTTGTATGCCATAAAAAAGCTAAGGCTATTAAAAGAAAAAAAATTATATCGAAGCGGAAAAAATAAAATTTCTCCTCAAAGCACATTGTGATGGTGGTAGTAAATAATATACAAGGGAGGATTTCAAATAAAAGTATTTAGTTAAAATACTATAGTCGTACACTTCAGTTTAATCATCACATTCCGATTATGTGGAAAACGTATCACTTTTTGACTTCTTACACTGTTCTATCCAATTAATATAGATAGATAGATAGATAGATAGATAGATAGATAGATAGATAGATAGATAGATAGATAGATAGATAGATAGATAGATAGATAGATAGATAGATAGATAGATAGATAGATAGATATATAGATAGATAGATAGATAGATAGATAGATAGATAGATAGATAGATAGATAGATAGATAGATAGATAGATAGATAGATAGATAGATAGATAGATAGATAGATAGATAGATAGATGATAGATAGATAGATAGATAGATAGATAGATAGATAGATGAGATAGATAGATAGATAGATAGATAGATAGATAGATAGATAGATAGATAGATAGATAGATAGATAGATAGATAGATAGATAGATAGATAGATAGATAGATAGATAGATAGATAGATAGATAGATAGATAGATAGATAGATAGATAGATAGATAGATAGATAGATAGATAGATAGATAGATAGATAGATAGATAGATAGATAGTGATAGATAGATAGATAGATAGATAGATAGATAGATAGATAGATAGATAGATAGATAGATAGATAGATAGATAGATAGATAGATAGATAGATAGATAGATAGATAGATAGATAGATAGATAGATAGATAGATAGATAGATAGATAGATAGATAGATAGATAGATAGATAGATAGATAGATAGATAGATAGATAGATAGATAGATAGATAGATAGATAGATAGATAGATAGATAGATAGATAGATAGATAGATAGATAGATAGATAGATAGATAGATAGATAGATAGATAGATAGATAGATAGATAGATAGATAGATAGATAGATAGATAGATAGATAGATAGATAGATAGATAGATAGATAGATAGATAGATAGATAGATAGATAGATAGATAGATAGATAGATAGATAGATAGATAGATAGATAGATAGATAGATAGATAGATAGATAGATAGATAGATAGATAGATAGATAGATAGATAGATAGATAGATAGATAGATAGATAGATAGATAGATAGATAGATAGATAGATAGATAGATAGATAGATAGATAGATAGATAGATAGATAGATAGATAGATAGATAGATAGATAGATAGATAGATAGATAGATAGATAGATAGATAGATAGATAGATAGATAGATAGATAGATAGATAGATAGATAGATAGATAGATAGATAGATAGATAGATAGATAGATAGATAGATAGATAGATAGATAGATAGATAGATAGATAGATAGATAGATAGATAGATAGATAGATAGATAGATAGATAGATAGATAGATAGATAGATAGATAGATAGATAGATAGATAGATAGATAGATAGATAGATAGATAGATAGATAGATAGATAGATAGATAGATAGATAGATAGATAGATAGATAGATAGATAGATAGATAGATAGATAGATAGATAGATAGATAGATAGATAGATAGATAGATAGATAGATAGATAGATAGATAGATAGATAGATAGATAGATAGATAGATAGATAGATAGATAGATAGATAGATAGATAGATAGATAGATAGATAGATAGATAGATAGATAGATAGATAGATAGATAGATAGATAGATAGATAGATAGATAGATAGATAGATAGATAGATAGATAGATAGATAGATAGATAGATAGATAGATAGATAGATAGATAGATAGATAGATAGATAGATAGATTTCAGATCTTGATCTACTACATTGTAGTTGTATTGCTGAATAAATTTCCTTTTCTCAGAGAAAATTTAGGTTTAACTCGCTAAAAATCATCCAATTACATGTCTATTAGTTAACCCTAGTCTTAACTAAAAAAGTTTCATCTTTTTTTAACTGTTCAGCACTTGTTTTCTTACACCATTTAACACATTATGTGCATATAATAAATATTTAACTGTACGCAAACTATCACACATTAAATAGGGTGTTTGTGAAAGAAATAAGATGATGTTCCTACGCACCCTCTAACCGTCAAGTATACTACATGTGGGTACACAACAAAACCACACATGCACTCAGATACTCAAACTCAAAGGCATATTCATATTTTGATTGCATTTAGTTCTGGTGTTAAAATTTCTATTTGCTTTTTCCTACAAACTATACGAAATCTCTTATATTTTCCAAACAAAACCGCTAAATATTGGGGGATGTTATAGACACACACTCACACAGGCATTTACTCAAATTCTAATATCATTTCATCTCATCTTTATACTGTGTAGATTTCTGCACTTATTGTGGATATTGATTGTTGTTGGCTTTTGTTTGTTATGAAATAGTGGCTACAATTCATTGCATGCGCTTAAGGGGGGATCTTGCCTAATCCCATATATAAGTATTTGTCGATATAATATATATGTTAAAGGGATGAAATTGTAGTACTACTGGGTAATTCCAATGGTACTTTATGAAGGAAAATTTTATTATTAGTAAGAAAATTTATATGATCAAAAAGTACCAATATTTGGCAAATCCCTTTGTATGTGCAAAATTTCTTCAGTATACATAATTCGCCACTGTTTGTTGAATATACGATGCGTACCGTTTATGTCTTTCACTTGTGTGGTTGCAATTATTCTACTATGGTTGTATAACGAATAATTCATCTCTTATGCTGGTTTGTAATTCTGAATAATTTCCATCTTTCATTCTTGGAGGATACTGATAAGATTTAAGTGTGTATTTTGTTTGCATTGCATGATTAGACTTGTTTGAACATTATTTATACGCATAATAGTAGTTTGCCTATGAAATATACATACATACATATATGTGTGTATTGTGGTTAAGTTATGGTGGTTGTTTTATGTGTCTCATAACTATTGTCCTCATCTGCTGTCTTCGTTATAGTGCAATTTATATCTAGTGTTATGATTTCATTTTCATCTCCTTTATTTGGTGCTGATATAAATCTATCAATTTGATCAACGTTAGATGTTGACGTTGTATGAAGCCATAAAAGAATATGCTGTAAATTTTTGTAGTTTTTTGGTCTTGTCTTTATTGTTATTTATTCGGTACATATTTCGCAGGAGGGTAAATAAAAAAAACTCTATTGAAATAATATGTCATTACGTATGCTTCATTTAATTAGCTGAAAGTTATTAAAAGTATGCAAAACAGTAATAGCATATGGAAAGCAAGTGAGAATTTATAGTCGGGCGTGGCCGACCATATAATACCCTACACCAGTTAAGAGAATAAAATGTGATTTATTTTGTATAGACTGATTTGGTGGATATATCTACGTTTACCCAAAATGTATTTATCTTGAATTTCATTGCGAAATCAGCCTTTTTAAGCGAATTGTGGACATTTAACTAATTATATGAAGGGGTCTTTGTATGAGGACTACTACAAATAAAAAACTTAGTCATAACATGGATGGACGAACAGACGGGGAAAAATTATTGCGCGTTACAAACATCAGCACAAAACCAATATACACTCCCTATAAAAGTGGTGTAGGGTATAATTATGGGAAACATTTAATAAAACTTTAAAAATTTCTCTAAAATGTTTAATTAAAATTTAGAAATGATATTACGTTTAAAAGTGCATATTAAAACCTAAAGACATTTTTAACCTCATTTTCATATTTTCAACCAATAAAGTTTTACAGGCTAAAAGTTTTAACTTTAAAAATCTGATTAATAACATTACTTTTTACATATTTTCTTTATTTTCAGCAACAATTAAAATTTAACAATAAGTTATATACATGGGAAGTACTGATGGTAAAATTCATGACTTGTAACCTGTAATAAACCATCTTCAACAGATTTATTCAAATACTTAATTATTGTAATACAAAAATGGGATAATGACTAAAATAATAATTAATTTCTCAAAAGCTACATTTCTTAAATTATGTAAATTTTCGTCATTGATCCCCATTTAAACACGGTCTAGTTATTCGTTAACTTTATATTGACAGTTTTCACACAAAAGTTATCTTAACTGGAAGAAGAATAACTACCGGTTAAACGATAACTCAAGGTGGTGAAAATGGGGGTAAATAAAAATAAAAAATTTATAGATCATAGTATACATGAAGAGTATTTTGTTTATTTATACGATTTGCTAAAGTAAGTATAAACATTTTAATCTAAACCACAAAAGGTAGCATTGGGAACTCGACTATCTGAAGTAACAAGATTCAATCGAAATAGTACAATATCTTTATAAATACAAGTTTTTGAATATTATATGCTTAGCTTCCTTTGGCTGCAGGCATTGAAATCTTTTTTCCACCATGGTGAAAAGTAGAGTTCACAAGCTTGCAATGGATATCAATATCACTGAAAACGCTTCAGCCGTTCAGCAGCTATTTATCCAATAAACGATTTTCACCTTTCGGAAGCAATTTCAAATAAATTGAAGCGACTGTTTCTGCTATTTGGCAGTGGAACTATTAGCTTTTAAAGAGCATATCTGAGATGACACAACGGATGTACATGATGATGGTACTTTCCACTGACACTGATATCAATGTAATCGCTTCAGCCGTTTAAAAGTTATAAACGATTTTCAAAAAGTACTGAAGGTTTCATCGAAATATATCTAATAGTCTTTTAATTACAAGCGTTTTTCTACATTTCAAGCTTAAACTTCCTTTGGATGCAAGCGTTGTAAAATCTTTAAGTGTGGAGAAAAGCTGAGTTCACAAGCTTTCCACTGACACCAATAGCAATGGAATCGCTTCAGCCGTTTAGAAGTTATACTCAATTTTTAAAAGTGGTTTGACTCACATTTTTAGCTTTTTGGTTGTAGCACTATATGATTTAAACGCTTATAACTCTGTGAAAACCCAACAAATGTATATGATGATGGTACTCAATAGAAGCGTTGGGAACTCGGCTATCTGAAAAACCAAGCTTTGATCGAAATAGTCCCATATCTTTATAACTACAAGCGTTTTTGTATATTTTACGCTTAGCTTCCTTTGGATGCAGGCATTGAAAAGTTTTTGCCATTACGGTGAAAAGTAGAGTTCACGAGCTCGCGACGGACACCAATATCACTGAAATCGCTTCAGCCGTTCAGGAGTTATAAGCATTTAAATATTTTTAATGAACGATATCAACCTACTACATGATTCTGTTCTCCTGGTGTAGAAAAATTTTCTGAAGCAATTTCGAAGTGATTTTTGAGCGACTGGTTTTCTACTATTCGCTGAAACTAGTGTGAAACTATTAGCTTTGAAGGAGCATATCTCTGGAATGACTCAACGGATGCCCATGATGATGGTACTCATCTGAAGCGTATGAAACTCAGCTATCTGATAATGAAGGTTTCATCGAAATGTATTCAATAGTTTTTTAATTACAAGCGTTTTTCTACATTTCAAGCTTAAACTTCCTTTGGATGCAAGCGTTGTAAAATCTTTAACTGTGGAGAAAAGCTGAGTTCACAAGCTTTCCACTGACACCAATATCAATGGAATCGCTTCAGCCGTTTAGAAGTTATACTCAATTTTTAAAAGTGGTTTGACTCACATTTTTAGCGTTTTGGTTGTAGCACTATATGATTTAAACGCTTATAACTCTGTGAAAACCCAACAAATGTATATGATGATGGTACTCAATAGAAGCGTTGGGAACTCGGCTATCTGAAAAACCAAGCTTTGATCGAAATAGTCCCATATCTTTATAACTACAAGCGTTTTTGTATATTTTACGCTTAGCTTCCTTTGGATGCAGGCATTTAAAACTTTTTGCCATTATGGGAAAAGTAGAGTTCACGAGCTCGCGATGGACACCAATATCACTGAAATCGCTTCAGCCGTTCAGGAGTTATAAGCGTTTAAATATTTTTAATGAACGATATCAACCTACTACATGATTCTGTTCTCCTGGTGTAGAAAAATTTTCTGAAGCAATTTCGAAGTGATTTTTGAGCGACTGGTTTTCTACTATTAGGCAGTGAAACTATTAGCTTTGAAGGAGCATATCTCTGGAATGACTCAACGGATGCCCATGATGATGGTACTCATCTGAAGCGTATGAAACTCAGCTATCTGATAATGAAGGTTTCATCGAAATGTATTCAATAGTTTTTTAATTACAAGCGTTTTTCTACATTTCAAGCTTAAACTTCCTTTGGATGCAAGCGTTGTAAAATCTTTAACTGTGGAGAAAAGCTGAGTTCACAAGCTTTCCACTGACACCAATATCAATGGAATCGCTTCAGCCGTTTAGAAGTTATACTCAATTTTTAAAAGTGGTTTGACTCACATCTTTAGCGTTTTGGTTGTAGCACTATATGATTTAAACGCTTATAACTCTGTGAAAACCCAACAAATGTATATGATGATGGTACTCAATAGAAGCGTTAGGAACTCGGCTATCTGAAAAACCAAGCTTTGATCGAAATAGTCCCATATCTTTATAACTACAAGCGTTTTTGTATATTTTACGCTTAGCTTCCTTTGGATGCAGGCATTGAACAATTTTTGCCATTACGGTGAAAAGTAGAGTTCTCGAGCTCGCGATGGACACCAATATCACTGAAATCACTTCAGCCGTTCAGGAGTTATAAGCATTTAAATATTTTTAATGAACGATATCAACCTACTACATGATTCTGTTCTCCTGGTGTAGAAAAATTTTCTGAAGCAATTTCGAAGTGATTTTTGAGCGACTGGTTTTCTACTATTCGGCAGTGAAACTATTAGCTTTGAAGGAGCATATCTCTGGAATGACTCAACGGATGCCCATGATGATGGTACTCATCTGAAGCGTATGCAACTCAGCTATCTGATAATGAAGGTTTCATCGAAATGTATTCAATAGTTTTTTAATTACAAGCGTTTTTCTACATTTCAAGCTTAAACTTCCTTTGGATGCAAGCGTTGTAAAATCTTTAACTGTGGGGAAAAGCTGAGTTCACAAGCTTTCCACTGACACCAATATCAATGGAATCGCTTCAGCCGTTTAGAAGTTATACTCAATTTTTAAAAGTGGTTAGACTCACATTTTTAGCGTTTTGGTTGTAGCACTATATGATTTAAACGCTTATAACTCTGTTAAAACCCAACAAATGTATATGATGATGGTACTCAATAGAAGCGTTGGGAACTCGGCTATCTGAAAAACCAAGCTTTGATCGAAATAGTTTCATATCTTTATAACTACAAGCGTTTTTGTATATTTTACGCTTAGCTTCCTTTGGATGCAAGCATTGAAAACTTTTTGCCATTATGGGAAAAGTAGAGTTCACGAGCTCGCGATGGACACCAATATCACTGAAATCGCTTCAGCCGTTCAGGAGTTATAAGCGTTTAAATATTTTTAATGAACGATATCAACCTACTACATGATTCTGTTCTCCTGTTGTAGAAAAATTTTCTGAAGCAATTTCGAAGTGATTTTTGAGCGACTGGTTTTCTACTATTCGGCAGTGAAACTATTAGCTTTGAAGGAGCATATCTCTGGAATGACTCAACGGATGCCCATGATGATGGTACTCATCTGAAGCGTATGAAACTCGGCTATCTGATAATGAAGGTTTCATCGAAATGTATTCAATAGTTTTTTAATTACAAGCGTTTTTCTACATTTCAAGCTTAAACTTCTTTTGGATGCAAGCGTTGTAAAATCTTTGACTGTGGAGAAAAGCTGAGTTCACAGGCTTTCCACTGACACCAATATCAATGGAATCGGTTCAGCCGTTTAGAAGTTATACTCAATTTTTAAAAGTGGTTTGACTCACATTTTTAGCGTTTTGGTTGTAGCACTATATGATTTAAACGCTTATAACTCTGTGAAAACCCAACAAATGTATATGATGATGGTACTCAATAGAAGCGTTGGGAACTCGGCTATCTGAAAAACCAAGCTTTGATCGAAATAGTCCCATATCTTTATAACTACAAGCGTTTTTGTATATTTTACGCTTAGCTTCCTTTGGATGCAGGCATTGAAAAGTTTTTGCCATTACGGTGAAAAGTAGAGTTCACGAGCTCGCGATGGACACCAATATCACTGAAATCGCTTCAGCCGTTCAGGAGTTATAAGCGTTTAAATATTTTTAATGAACGATATCAACCTACTACATGATTCTGTTCTCCTGGTGTAGAAAAATTTTCTGAAGCAATTTCGAAGTGATTTTTGAGCGACTGGTTTTCTACTATTCGGCAGTGAAACTATTAGCTTTGAAGGAGCATATCTCTGGAATGACTCAACGGATGCCCATGATGATGGTACTCATCTGAAGCGTATGAAACTCAGCTATCTGATAATGAAGGTTTCATCGAAATGTATTCAATAGTTTTTTAATTACAAGCGTTTTTCTACATTTCAAGCTTAAACTTCCTTTGGATGCAAGCGTTGTAAAATCTTTAACTGTGGAGAAAAGCTGAGTTCACAAGCTTTCCACTGACCAATATCAATGGAATCGCTTCAGCCGTTTAGAAGTTATACTCAATTTTTAAAAGTGGTTTGACTCACATTTTTAGCGTTTTGGTTGTAGCACTATATGATTTAAACGCTTATAACTCTGTGAAAACCCAACAAATGTATATGATGATGGTACTCAATAGAAGCGTTGGGAACTCGGCTATCTGAAAAACCAAGCTTTGATCGAAATAGTCCCATATCTTTATAACTACAAGCGTTTTTGTATATTTTACGCTTAGCTTCCTTTGGATGCAGGCATTGAAAAGTTTTTGCCATTACGGTGAAAAGTAGAGTTCACGAGCTCGCGATGGACACCAATATCACTGAAATCGCTTCAGCCGTTCAGGAGTTATAAGCGTTTAAATATTTTTAATGAACGATATCAACCTACTACATGATTCTGTTCTCCTGGTGTAGAAAAATTTTCTGAAGCAATTTCGAAGTGATTTTTGAGCGACTGGTTTTCTACTATTCGGTGAAACTAGTGTGAAACTATTAGCTTTGAAGGAGCATATCTCTGGAATGACTCAACGGATGCCCATGATGATGGTACTCATCTGAAGCGTATGAAACTCAGCTATCTGATAATGAAGGTTTCATCGAAATGTATTCAATAGTTTTTTAATTA